AATGTAGGAACAGTGCTTTATGAATGATGAATTAAGTGTTTACTCATACTTAACTAATGCTTCATAGTGTGTAGTTATAAAGTGTTACCAATCTTTCTTATGATTTATAACCATTATTCTATAGTAAGGGATTCAGTCTTATACCAATTTCTTGTTATTTCCTTGTAACTTGTGGTCAATGATATGTCAGATAAATATCTATCATTATCAGTGGCACAATCATGCATATTTCCAAGGGACGGAACTTTGCATTCCTTAGGTATTGCACTATTCTAACATATCCACCAACATGATTGTTGTGAACCAGGTTGTTTCCTCTCTATGAAGTAGCGGGTTCGATTTTTCCACCCAAACTCCTTCCATGTCATTGAATTTCACATATTTCTCAAGTTTATTACGGAACCACCACCAAGCTAAAGGGCCTTAAATAATACCCAGTGGTTGCACTTATGCAATAGTGTTTCCAGTAGTCTGCTTCTTAGCTTTGTGAAGGCGTCACATCCACTGGTGTAAAGCCAATTATTGAAAACGTCTTTCATTTGGCTTTCCGTTGAGCTCTGTCATGACTCATGGCAATTTTTCCCATTTGCTTTCTTGCAGAGAGTTAGATGAAGAAGATGAAGATGATCAGTACCACTTTTATGTCTAAAGACTGTATGAAGCTCGGACATGTTAGCTTAGCTTAGAAAGCAGACTGGAAACAGCTGTCCAAACTAAGGGAACATAATTTGGGGGTGTTATGTGCAGGACTATTCCATGTCTGAAGGGAATATATAAAAGAAGGAAGGGTCATTATGTCACAGTGACACCATTATAATTGTGCTACCAGTATAAAGGTCCAGATATCAAATTACAGTGGTATCAAATTTGGCCACACCCTGACAATAACAGGAAACATTATCCAGAGAGCTGGCTAACGTCAGCATTCCTGAATGCTATCAAACATCAAAACAGTTTGATGGTTGATTAGTTATTGATAACAAAGATGCTCTTTTACAACCAAATACGTTTAGCATAGTACCGGATCGGCACCAATGTGAGTTCAGTGACATAATGACCCTTCCTTATTTATAGGCTCCTTGGACTTTGACCTCTGTCTTTTTGTCTTTTTTGTATTTACACTCAAAGAAATTGTTTAAAAAACATAACCCTGATATCCTGCTTGTGCAGTGTCCTCCACCTTTCAGGTTCAGCTTTGTGTAGCTGGTGTTTATTAGGTTAATGTCTAAATACCTGTGAGTCTGCCACAGCTTATTTAAAGCCTTCCATCCAACTTAAAACGTTTCCACTAAAAGGAGGAGTGTGAGAAAACAGGTCTGCCTGCCTTATTGTGGCACCACCTTTAGCCACTCAGCGACAGCCTCCTCAAGGCAATTTTCAGCTGACATATTATTCTATTATCTGTTTGCATGTGTTGCACAATGAACCCATTGTAAGAATATGCAATAATTGTTTATTATTAACAGATGATATGTGATGATAAAGTCCTCACAGTCTTTGGCGCTTGGACTCTACAGGGAGATTTGTAATTGAGTGGCCTCTGCCCTGAGCAGCAGCAAGATAAATCCCCCCGTGAAGTCTAGACACTGGTGGTGGTGGTGGCTGATGAGTCTGATAGAATGATGAGTTGATGGATCCGATGAATCTGCAAAGACTGGGCGGAGATAGGGAGGCAGAAGGGTGCGTAACAGCAGCATAAACGTACTGAAGGTATAGAGACAATCATATTTAAAAAGAGACAGCAGCAAGATGATAGGCTAACGATGAAATTGTCGTGGTGCTATTGGATAAAAGAGACCAGCTGATCTAAACAGCTGATATCATAATTGACATCCTCGAACATGACACCAAGGAAATAATGAGTGAGCAGGTGTGAGGAGTGAATGGCAGATGCATGACGAATAAACTACAAGCCTAAACATGCAAAAGTATAGTCTTCTTCACTGAACGTATGCTAGAGCTTCATTAGCACGGACGTTGTGTTTGGAAATAACGGAGGCTTTCTTTTGGCCCAAACTGACACCCTTCTGAAAGCCTCAGGGGTAATGATTTAGACTTGCTCTAGCTCCTTCAGAGTACACAGCGTACACAGCGTACCCAGATCACACCTCATGAATGGTGAACTGAACTTTATACATTGAACAGTAGAACTCTTAACATGGAGTTCAAGACTTTTCAGATAAATTGCTGAAGTCATTACTGCATCATTTGTCCAGTTGACCTGCTGCCACCGCGACCCGACCCCGGATAAGCGGTGGAAAATGGATGGATGGATGGATGGATTGTCCAGTCAGTTAGTCATTTACAACAGCTCATACTTTAACAGTTATTTTCTGGATTTACTGTTACTGTACTGCATGAGCATGCCTCTATTGCCTTCTATGATGTCTGCTAAATGTCTTTGCCTTAGAATACTTTCACAAATATACGGTGCAACACAAATCCACTCAGGATCAGCAAATGCTTCAATATCCTCAGCAAGTCCATCACACTCACCTGCACACTCAAATACCTTTGCCCTTGCAACACAGTACTCCAGTAGGGTTATTGCTTTCCTTTCTTGTATCCTGCTTAAATCCCATATACATTAAAAGTAAACCTAGTAAAATGAAGGGCAGGGCGTTATAAGGGGCTCCGTGGGGGATTGCAGATAATCCAGGAATATTCATGTAAATATAGATAAATTAAAAACACATTACCTTTTATTGCTTTATTTGAAGTTCAATAATTTGGGAAACACACTTATTCGCTTTCTTGCCACGAGTTAGACAAGAAGATTGATAGCACTCCAACATCGGTATGTTATAAATGAAGCCATAGCCAGGACACGATTAGCTTAGCCTAAATTAGCATAAAGTCTAGAAGAAGGAGCAAACAGCTAGCTTGGCTCTTTCAGCCTACCAGCACCTCTAAATGTCACGCATTAACACTTTGTACATATTGTGTGTTTAACTCGAACATTCATATTTGCACAGCTAGACAGGTTTTCTGTTTCCCCCTGCTTCCTGTGTTTATGCTAAGCTGACCGGCTGCTGGCTGTAGCTCACAGACTGTATAAAAGAAGTGGACAAAGTCAGTTTTCAAGCTTCGACTTTGGCATTTTGGTTGCCGCGAAAATGTTACAATTAACTTTCATGAACTGAAAACACTATGTTAGGGTTAAAGTTGTAAAATGAAAGCACCCAGACTGGACAATGCCATGGTAGTGACCTGTCAGTCACAAGGTAGCCCTGCCCAAAACATACCCTGATTTATTATTTTACTCTAAATGGGACCACCATTTACTAAATGAACATCATGCTGTATTAAATAAAGACTTGAAAATAGCTATTGAGCCCATAAACTCATGTACTCATTTACTGAGGTCATTAAATCAAGTGAGAAGTAGAGTCATTTTCTATACAATCGGACTTCTTTTTGCAAGAGGGGTAGCCCCCTTAATAGGAAGAATGCAAGTTTAAGGCACTTCAACATTGGCTCCACTTTTCAGGCCCCTATGTTGCCGCTTGCTGTAATTTCACAAAATGTCTTACCATTCCCAATATCTGGAAGATCCAAGCCTTTCTATCTCAAAATTAAACTGACCCTTGAAGGCCTCAAAAGATCTCCTTCCTGAGTGTTTGAACAAGTGCAGCTGCAGGAAATTAAAACTCACGATTCACATCGTCAGGCAGTTTTGACTCAGTGATTCAAGTATCCGCATGTATCCCTTGCTCAGTTGGGAAGAAGCCCTGTTATCCGACCTATGATTGGACCACATGCTTCATAGCTGTGTTCCAGCAAAATATTAGGGTGCAGGTCTTTATGTGAAATTTTGCAGCCGATGGTGGTTATGATAGCAACCAACACCACATGCTATATGAAGTGGATTTTAGTCCCATTTAAGTTCAAACAAGTAGCAGCCTTTGTTTTTGTTTGGCAGCAGTTAGGATTGTGTGTGTGCACTTGTGTATGTGTTTGGTCTTGTGGAGGCACATTGGTATGTCCCAGACAGTGACTGTGTAGCTGTGTGTACTCAACAAGGCAGAATGTGCTGATGCAGCTCTGAGAGTAGGAGTGATGGACCCAGCCCTAACCTGAGGCGACTTCCAGGGCTCAGAGGAGTAATTTGTGCCTTAACTCTCTGTCAAGCTGCCATATGGGACTCAGAGTGGTCACAAACTCCAGGACAGTGCCAGACAATCTTTAACACTTGCTAAAACAGCAATAATTGAATAGAGCTGTGCAGGGATGATGTATTTTTGTCGCACACTGGTTCCCTATGACCAAAACAAACAATGGGATTTTTCCATTGTATTTCAGGTTTTTGGGACAAACATTTATGATACTTGCACGTTTTGTTCATTAAGAATATCTTCACAAATGAACACCACTTTTATGATTTTTAAAGCGTGAATGCAATTGCTAGAAGAACGTTAAAACATAAACAAAATTCACCACAGTTGCATGACTTCACGTTACCACCACTATGCTTCCAACTTGTAATTTAATTTTGCATGACACCCCTGACAGGGGTCAGTGTGGAGTATTTACTGATGTATTTTCTGTCGTAGAACAAAGATCTCTGAAGCTTGTGTTAACCACAGACCTTGGTTCAGGTGCAAGTCATTCCTGCAGCACTCTAATGGATCAACTATGCCACTAGACAAGAAGAGTGTGTTTCACAGTACGCACAGTTTAGTAGGTCTAAATAATTCTGCAGTTTTTGTTCCTGCTGTGCCTGCAATTGGATTATGTTATATTTGGGCAGAATACTTGAGATAATTTTCCTTTCGCAAATCATGAATAATACTAATACCTAAATGTCTACAATGCATGTATATGCATGCACAGATTGCAAATAGATTGAGCATGAATGATTTAAATGGAAATATTAAAAGGATGCCACTGAAGAGTTTTCCTGTGATTTGTGTGCTTTCCGTTGGGTTTTCTTTCGCAATTTAGCTCTCAGGTTGTATTTTTAATCGACCCTTTTTACATGAAGTTATGCTCTTTTTCAGACTGGGTTGGGTCGGGATACGACTGGACACGCCTCTCCGTCTCAACGCGGATGTGTCTCCGGACTATATAGCAGACCTGAGCGCAGACACTCGGGGCAGAAATCTGGACGTGCAGCAGCAGTGTCTCCTTCTTCTCACCCAGCATCTGCCTTCTGTCCTCACCAGGTAATGTCAAGTCGTTGATTATCTGCACATTTTTGTAAAAGGCTTCAGAATGCTATAAAAAACACTGTATTATTCAGGTGGATATTTACGAAGTAATAGACCAAATGCTTGTTTTTACCTTTTGAGAAATTCGCCTGTATTATTCATTCTGCGTCAAAGGAAGCAAAACAGTTCACAGATACATTTTTGAAGTATATAATAAATACTTTAAATGTTAAGTCGTGTTTCCTCTGGTGCATGATTCATATTGTTTGACTTTATCAATTTTACCCCAATGTTCCACTCAATACTTTGCAATAAGTACATAATTACACACTGTACAGTACAAGGTATGTTTTAAGTCTTTGACTGTGGGGAGTGGCTTTTCCGCCCCCCCCCCAAAAAAAAACACCCAACATTGCATTTGCAGTTTGACAGAAAGTGCAGAGGACACTCCTTTCCTGATGTATCAGGTGATTTTCCCCGACTTTATACAAAGACACTTAGTAATTTGCACGGCACCGGTATTACAGGTTAATCAGCAAATGGTGCACAGTGAATACAAGATGGAGCCTTTGTTCACAGATGAAGGAGGTTTAAAAACAATTGGAATAGAGTAACACAATGCACTGTTGATTGACTTTTGAATGCTTTGTGATGTGCACAATTAATTTCCCTCAAAACATCAAGGCTTTCTCAGGTTATGATAAAACATAAAAAATAAAGTGGGGACAATGCTTGTATGACTTCAGAGAGTTTTCTTTTTTTCCTTCTTGTGTTTGTCTTTTTTTTTTCCCTTCTCAATCGAATCCAAACATAACGAGAACGGTTACCTGACTTCTGTGCCAGAAATCTGTATGAAAGTAGGCTGCAACGATCCATTATTTTCATTTGCTTAACAATCGTTTAGTCTACTAAAATATCCCAAAATTGTGATGAATACAATTTATTAGATAGTTTACGATCAGAACAGAAAAAGAAAAAGCAGCAAATCGTCACATTTGAGAAGCTGCAACTGGAGAATGTTTGACATTCGTGCTTGAAAACTGACTTCAATTTCCAGTTAACTTTCAGATAATCCTTTCAGCATGAAACTGTTACAATATATCAACTCCTGTGTTTTAAGGTTAGTTACTGTCCTTGCTGTGGCCTGATGGGTTTGTTAATGAAGATGTGTCTTCCCTCAGACCCAGAGCACTATGGCGTGCCACAAGGAGTTCATGACTGCAGGAAAGAAGCCCGGCCTGCAGGTGTGGCGGATTGAGAAAATGGACTTGGCACCCGTCCCTTTTCATCTCCATGGAGACTTCTTCACTGGAGACTCCTACATACTGCTCAACACCACCCCTGCTCCGTCGTACAAAGTTCACTCCTGGTTTGGTATTGAACTTCTAGATTCTCTGCCGACACCTCAAAACAATCTCTGGCTTATAATATAATTAAACTCCCCTCATTGGTCTGTCAATGCTCTCTTTTATTCATCGTTTATTTTTTTCTGTTTTGTTGTATCTGTTAAACCACAGGCAAAGAAGCTTCCCAGGATGAGAAAGGGTGTGCTGCCATCTTTATGGTCCAACTGGACAACTCCCTGGGTGGAGCCCCCATACAGTTCACTGAGTTTCAAAATGAAGAGTCCCTCACTTTTATGAGCTACTTCAAGTCTGGCATCAAATACAAGGTGAAACACGATTCACGCACTGATGTTGTTTTTAAATAGTAAATCATTTAAAACATATTTGCCCAGAAATTATTTTAATTGTTAAGATTAATTCATTTCTTTGGACCCAACAACAACAAATAAAACCAATGGAATGACCTAAGCCTAAAGGGGTTGTTTAAGTGTTGCAAGTTTAAAGGGGAGGTGGAGCTTGTCCCAGTGCTATTCTGGAAAATGTTTGGAATAGTAGTTGGTTGCTTCCTCAGGTTTTCCGCTAAAGATTTCCATGGAGAGTTTGAGCTGGCAAACAAGGCGAGCAGAAACACGGTTTCTGATGCCACAACACCAGAAGCAGGAGTAGGAAAACCGACTACAGCCAGTGTTTTATTTTAGTATCACAAATGTGGAAAGTATGCATTTGAAATAATAATAAGCCAGACATCTTAAAAGGAATACATTTGAACTTATATCTTTGATTAGGCAATCCTTTTAAATCAACATACTATGCAGCTGCAGTTTAATGTAATAGTACTGATGCTTTATTCTTCCTGACTTTACTCCTGTTAAAGAAAGGGGGAGTGGCCTCAGGCTTCAAGCACGTGGAGACCAACGCAGCAGATGTCCAAAGACTGATGCACGTTAAAGGTCGTCGGACAATCAGAGCCGCGGAGGTGGACTTATCCTGGTCAAGCTTCAACAAAGGAGACTGCTTCATCATCGACCTGGGAAAGGTGATTTAGAAGACGGACTAAATAGCCAAATGTGTTGGACTGTAATAGTGCAGGCTTCAGGTGATAACTTTATTCTTTTCCTCCCAGATCATCTACCACTGGTCTGGCAGTGAATCCAATGTCTATGAGCGCCTGAAGACCACTGAGCTGGCCATTGCGATTCGCGACAACGAGCGAAAAGGTCGTAGTGAACTAGAAATGATTGACGAAGGTTCCGAGCCAGAGGATGTCATTCAAGTGAGCTTTTTTTTTCAACTTTTCAATTTGAACAGCTTTATTCAGGAACGTCTGGCTTCGGCAGCGAGGAAGGATTTGAGTGCAATGTTGCAATCTGTGTGCGTGTGTTTATTTATAGGTGCTTGGACCCAAGCCCGAACTCCCTCCAGGAAGCTCTGATAGTGATCGACACACCGATAAGAAGAACAAGAACCTGGCATCGCTCTATCTGGTAAATATGCGCTAATATTACGCTTTTAAATGTATGACTGTGTATGAAATGTTATGTTACAGTATATTTAATATTTAGATAAATGCAGATGTTTTGATCATCTCTCTACTTTCTAGATTTCCGATGCTGCCGGTTCCATGACAAGCACTATGGTGACAGATAAAAACCCATTCAAACAAGACATGCTCTCCAACAGTGAATGCTACATCTTGGACAATGGAGGAAACAACAAGATATTTGTCTGGAAAGGTATAACACCACGGCATATTCTTATATGGATCCGTCTGTTTTGTGTATTCATCAATGCTTAGTTCGCTCATAGCAACAAGTTGTTAGTCAGCACTCTGTGCTTCCTCTCCACCTAGGAAAAACATGACTCATCCGTATTTTTGACCAGAGTTTGTAGTCTCTAACCACTGTAACACATCCCAAACTATAGGCAGCGATGCCAACAAAGATGAGCGCAATGCAGCACTGAGTGCTGCAAACAAGTTCATCAAAGACAAGAATTACTCCTCAAATACCCAGGTAATGTGGCAACATGGTGAAAGTCTGCCACCAGAACTTCGTCCTTTCTATCTTGTCTTCCTGTTCGTGAATATGTCTGCTCGTCTGTCTGCTTCTGACATGAACAGATCCAGATACTGCCAGCGGGGGGCGAGACCACCCTGTTCAAGCAGTTCTTCTTCAACTGGTTGGACAAGGACGAGACCACTGGCCCGGGCAAGGCCTACACCATCGGTAGCATCGCCAACGTGGAGCAGATTCCCTTCGACGCCGCCAAACTCCACAGCAACGACAGCATGGCCGCCCAGCACGGCATGGTGGACGATGGCTCCGGGAAAGTCAAGGTGTGGTAACTGGCCAGACGACACTAATGCTAGATATTCATTGCTTCAGACATCAACGTGTAGATGTGACAATGGTCGGTGTCCGTAGATCTGGCGCGTGGAAGGAAATGATAAAGAACCCGTGGACCCATCCACCTATGGACAGTTCTTTGGAGGCGACTGTTACCTGGTGCTGTACTCCTACAACAGGGGAGGCAGAGAGAAGCATATCATCTACACCTGGTGAGTGCAAACGTTTCAGCATGTCCGGATCTAACTGTTATGGGGGCCCAGGGCAAAGAAATTGTTTTTTGGCCTCTACTGGCCCCCCTTTATTTAGGAATATGCACCACGTGAGCACAATATCAACTAAAGATGAGGTCAAATGCAGGAGCCATTTAAGTAGATATTTTACTCGTGACCAACCTTTTGAAGGTGTTTTACTACATTCACACAGAACAGCAGATGCATATATGTAGACAATTGACTGACATATAAATGCAAGACGATGTACTGTATAATAAAGTTAGAATAAAAACAGTGGGAAATAAAATAAAACGGAAAGTAAAAAAATATGCAAATCAGACACCGAAATGGTCCCAACCTCCCCCTTCTTGTACCTTATAAATCATAGAAACGTGACATTTATCCATACATAAACAGCTGGAGTCTGTCTTTATATTACATTCATATAGGATTCAACTAAATTGATTTGCTGTGGCAGTTGACTGCCTTGCTTTTCAGACACAGCAGTGAATATCACCATTGATTTTCCTTGAAGGTTGAATGAGTTATGAATAATTTATGGGCGCTCTCTTCAGGCAAGGGAGAAAGTGCACCAGGGATGAACTGGCTGCTTCAGCCTTTCTCACAGTCCAATTGGATGACTCCATGGGTGGAGCAGCTACCCAGGTGAGACATTTACTGTGAAAACAATTTGTGGTAGAACTCAGGTTTTTCTTTGAAGGAATAGTTCTTGGGAAATACGCTTACTTGGCCAGAGTTGACGAGAAGATGGGCTTTAAATATGAAGCTAGAGCCAGCAGCCAGTTATCTTAGCATAAAGTCTGGAAACAGTGGGAGACCGCTAGCCTTGTGTTAATGAGTGAGCTTTAGAAGTGCTGGTAGGATCGCTCCCAGTCTTTATGCTAAGCTAAGCTAATCAGCTGCTTGCTTCAGCTTCATATTGAACGGACGGACATAAGAGTGGTATCGATCTTCTCATCTAACTCTCCGCCATACAGCAAATAAGCAAACTATTTCTTAAATGACTTACTCAAGCACAAAGCGTGAATGACTCCTATAGGCCCTCATCATACTTGTTGGCTAAGCCCCTGCTGTACCTCGACAGATTCGTGTCACTCAGGGCCAAGAACCCCCCCATCTTGTGAGCGTGTTTAAAGCCAACCCTTTGGTGGTCCACCTGGGCGGGACGTCCCGCCAGTCTGGCGAGAGCAAGGCCGGCAGCACGCGACTCTTCCATATCCGCCGGAGCTCCACCAAAGCCACGCGGGCTGTTGAGGTCAGCTTCCTTCATCACATTGAATGCGCCTTAGCTGATGCTTCATGATGAGCAATTCACATCGTTCTCCCTCTCTTTGTGTCTCGCGGAACGCAGGTGGCGCCCACTGCCTCCTCTCTCAACACCAATGACGTGTTTGTGCTGAAGACACCCAATTCCCTGTTCGTGTGGATGGGAAAGGGAGCGACGCCGGAGGAGAAGGCTGCTGCCGAGTATGTCGCCGACCTGCTTGGAGGAACTGTCTCTGAGGTGGAGGAGACCAATGAGCCAGGTGAGCAAGTGCTGGAAAAAAAGGGGGGCTTTGATCACTGCAGTATCAAATATTTCCTGTGGAAAACTGTTGTTTTCTCCGTGTTGTCAGCTGATTTCTGGAAAGCACTCGGTGGGAAGAAGGACTACCAGACCTCCTTGGCCCTGCAGAAGTCAGTTAAGCCTCCAAGGCTGTTTGGCTGTTCAAACAAGACTGGCAGGCTGGTCGTGAGTATCTTAAGTTTTTATCTATTTAATGTTCATTAAGGGGAATTGGTTTATTTATATTGGTTTATTTCATTTTGATGCATTTCTTTTACCTATTATTTACCTGTTTTTCATATAGCCACTTCATAAACACGCACTTCTCTATATTTAGGCAGAGGAGGTGCCCGGCGAGTTCACACAAATGGATCTGGCATCCGACGATGTCATGATTTTGGACACCTGGAATCAGGTATGCTGCCTTTCACTTTGAATGAAACGATTCAGGATCAGCTCTCGCAGATCTCTTTTTTTATTTTTTTTATTGCTGCCGTATCCATAAATCCCTTTGGTTATCTCTCCCCCTAGATCTTCATTTGGCTTGGAAACGATGCCAATGAGACGGAGAAAGCTGGATCTCTCAAGATTGGTAAGACAAACAGAGCTATTAAAGATGAGGAGAAGTGACATAAGAGAGTCTGTTCAACGAATGCATCCTTCTTTTCCTTTCAGCCGAACAATATCTGAATTCGGACCCGTCTGGGCGTGAAGGGGTCTCCATCGGCACCATTAAACAGGGGAACGAGCCACACTCCTTCAGTGGCTGGTTCCACGCCTGGGACCCCGAGATGTGGAACAAAGATCTTTTGCAGTGCCTGAAAGAACGGATCACAAAGCTTTAGTGGAAAACCACAAAGCTGCAAGAAAACCTGCGAAGATTCATTACTTATCGTATGTCGTTGGACTTCAAACAATAGTCAAGCTTGGTATGTTCTGTCTGGGTGAAGATGTATTAAATATGTCACATTAGAATCTGCATTCCACACACACAGTATCTACAATATATTTGCAGGGAACGGGTCTGGAATTTCTTTGTAAGCTTTGTTTTCATTCTGTCTTATGCATTAAATTGTAGTTTACGATCCGGTGGAACGTGATGGACTATTTCCCCCCAAGTTCAAATCGTCATGTATGGGATTCATTTTAAAACGTCACAAATGTGTTTCTGTGTGCGAGAAAACAAATGTATATTTTTACAAAACATTTCCCCTTTTACAGCCTAGTTTGCTGAGACAAATATAGATTGAGGAATTCTGAATTTGAATAAAAAGCTATAACCCTTTTTTGAAGATTGTCTTTTCTGATTGGATATCTTTATTCAAACAAGACCCTGTGCTTTTTCTGTCAAATTTTGTGTCAATTCACTCCCGTTCCCCGCAGCAATAAACTTGTTATCATGAGCCTAAACCCTCACCAGGCACCAGCACCATGTGTCGGCTGGCCTTAACAGTAATCTTTAGCCCATGTGCACAAGACTTCTGCTGAGTTGCAGACCTGTGGATTAAGGAGCCTCCTCGACGTCCAGCACCTCACTTCTCTTTTGTTCTTGTTCGTTCTCCGCTGCTGGAGCTGCTGGAGCTACAGGACAAACACTAACCAGACACAATGACCCAGAAGGTGGTACTCATCACAGGCTGCTCCTCTGGGATTGGCCTCGCCTTGGCTGCCCGCATCGCAAAGGATGAGAAGAAAAGGTTTGGGTAAAATTGCCAAATTAAAAAAAATAAAAACCTTGTCTAAACTTGCTATAACTGACAACTGTATTTCTAAAACTATTTATTGGACTGAGGAGGTAAGAAAATCAAAAGAAATGAGGGAAAGTTCACTTTTTAAGGTGTCTGCATTGCACATGCATTGGGTTTTAATTGCTGAAGACATTTTAGAATGGTAGTTTAACAGGGACAGTATTGAAATTATGAAGTGTTGAAAATAGTGCACCATTTATGTGCCCTAAGGTTTTTATTATCAAGTGCAGCAATTGAACTCTGTCATATTGTTTTGAAATATTATGGGGGAGGGTGTTGCAATATTTTTTTAGTCAAGTCGAGGGTCCAATCTTAGTGAAGTTGGGGAGGGCCTTATTCCTTAAGACAAGCTTTAGCCCTCACTCCAGTAAGTTTTGTGAAATCCCTTATTTATAATAAAGTTAGGTGCATAATAATGGTGAATATTCATGATTATGCCGATCCCTTTGTGACATTACTGCTGGTTAATGGTTACATTGCTGCAAATGAAATATAAGAGGCACTTAAGAAGTAATAGTGAACATTACGCTTTTGGAGACTAATCATTCAAAGCTATGTGCTGACAGTTGTTTTGTAAATATAAGAATATAAGCCCAGCTAACCCATCATTTGGCAAGAAACTTTTAAACAAATATATTTATCCTAATCAAAGAAGGAAACGGTATTTTCTGAGCAGTGCAGGTTGTTTTGGTTTCACTTGCAAAGTTTTGAGGTTTGCGCCTTTGTAACTTGAGCCAGCACCAACTCAACAGTAACGTCTCTTTCCAGAAACAAACAGTTTTCATTGGAATTACTTTCTATGTAAGAAATAGTCCCAATGTCTGCGGATCATCCTAAGCAACTGGGACATCGTTTAAAGACGTCGCAGTTGAGTTTAACCACTGCCGTGTTTTCCAATGCTTTGAACGTTTTGAAGAATCTCTGTAGTATTGGTGTAGCTAGCAGCAGACATTCAGAGACAAAACCCAAGAAAATAAAAGTCAATACTATCTGTTATGCCACTTAGGGAGAAGTTAGAAAAGATGTTGTTAATTTGTGATGGTGCACTAGCCCTTATAACAATGTTCAAAGCCAAATGAGACGTCTGACGTCTTTAATTCTGCATCCAGGTAGTAAACAAAGTCACAGCTTCAAATTAATTTTGCTTGTTGCAGTGTATGCCACCATGAGGAACTTGAGTAAGGGCGAGGCGCTGGTCGAGGCAGCATGTCGGACCCTGGGCAGGACTTTGGAGATCAAACAGTTGGACGTGTGTGACGACGACTCCATCAAAGCCTGTGTGGACAGCCTGCCAGAGCGCAGGGTGGACATTCTAAGTAAGCCCACACCATTTGGTTCAATTTAGTCAGAGAAAGAGCTGCAGCTTCTCACAAGTTCTGGTTTTGTTACCAGTTTTCCTACACACACATTGTACTGTACATGCTTTGATAACATGTCTTGCCATGCCTGACCTTCACAGTAAGCAATGCTGGGATGGGTCTGATTGGACCCATCGAGTGTCTATCGATGAGATGAAGACCGTCATGGACACCAACTTCTTTGGGCTTGTGCGCCTGCTGAAGGAAATCTTACCCGACATGAAGAGGAGGAAAAGAGGCCACAACGTGGTCATTGGCAGCGTCATGGGCATTCAGGGTTGGTCACATCTGTTCATCCTGAGATCGTTCGACAAATCGACATGTGCCAGGCAAAGTATGTCGTGGCAATAAAACCAATCACACCACAGCACACCCTGGTCTGGGGCAAGTGCTAACACGGCATCATTCAGTAACCGCATATTAAAGGGAATAGCTCTGCAGGGTGGTTACTATTAAATACAGTATATTAAAAGTATCTCAGCAGCATTCGGTTCCCTTTCAACTTAGCATGCTGCTCTTCGGCTTCCCATAGGGTGAGACATGAGGATGTTTGTATTGTCCTTCTGTCCTCAGTATCAGCCTGATAGAGCCAGGTCCAGTGATAACGGAGTTTGAGCGTAAAGTCTATGAGGAGGGCATGAAGACCGACCTCAGCAAAGCTGACAAAGTGACTGCCGACATGTTCACCAACATCTACTTGAAAAACTACAATCAAATCTTTGAATCCCTCGGGCAGACTGCTGAAGATGTAGCAGAGGTATTGCATCTTTTGTCCTCAGACATTCTTCACCTCATCATTTTAACACAACTGAGATGAGTCGCAGTGCATTGTCTGTTCCTCTGGCTTATGTCTGCTCTGTTTCCCCTCCTATAGCATACTCTCAAGATCATCACCATGGAGAACCCCCCCTTCCATCATTAGACAAACATGCTTTACACCCCTATGACCACACTCAAATATGCTGACCCCAACGGCGACCTCCCCATTCACACCTTTTTCAAAATGGTGTTTGAACACGACAAGGTCTTCAACGCCAGTCTGAACTTCCTCAAACTTCTGCGCTGGAGAAGCCGAAAGAGCTTTACCTTGGAAAAGGACAAGAGCAACTAGAGTGTCATGTTGTATTTAGCAAGGTACATTCATCCATGCGTGGGTCTGGTGTCATTTTCCTTTATTTCATTTGAATTTTATTCTTAGCTGTGCAAAATACAGAATCAGGGATTATTGTGAACAAAAAAAAAATATGAAAGCTAAAAATAACTGTGCGGATGTAATTGAAAAAAATGTTTTAGACATGTGTCTGTGAGCTCCTGCTGCAGGTTTTAAACCACACCCTGCCACATTCAACCGACGAGCATAACTCCCTCAACTCGTTAAGCCTCCAAGCCGTTTATTACACAATATGTAAGTAGTAAGCACAACTTTGAAGGGCAGCAACAAAGTCAGTGCATCAGATGAAGCGTTTCGACGGTTACACTGCCTTGTTGAGAGGTGATGTTTTCATTTCAAGACATTCTAAACATTCAGAGGCCATCTTTTAAAGATATGCATCCCTTTATGAATCAGTTGTGTCTGATATATTGTGTTTTTGAACCTGGATTATGTCAAATGTTTGCATGTGGCCTAATCTGAGATTCAGCTGTTTGCGCTGAGACTCACACCACATGGATTTTTACTGAGAAACATTTCGTACAAGATATTCAAGAGTTCTTGGGATGTATTCAGAGAGCAGAAAACAATAGACTATAACAAAAAAAGAATAGAAAATGTGTAGTGTGAATTCACTAAGTGAACAACAGATGAAGGTAAACATACTGGGCGACATCCAACTCCTCTTGGTACGTGAGTAAATATTATAGTTATAGGGAACAGAAGTGTAAAGACAGTATAAAGTGTTTTACAGATGGACGATAGGACCTGCAAACATTGTCCGCAGTTGCTGTACATAGAAGTCGAATCTAATAAGAGAATATCTGATTGTTTAAATGCAGGAAATTTGCAAGAAATGATGACAGAACTACGGAAAATAGGGCAGGAAGAGGACAATGTTAAAATCATATAAGAGTGTGGAGACAGTGCTCACGGGAGGAAGTGGTTATTACGTTTTTTTAAGCACGACTGGACTTTAAAAAAAAATGGATACCGAGGGAGGGATACTGACGGAGAATAAAACCTGAGGGTAACTGCCGTAAAACCTCGAAGAAGAGAAGTACCCCTTATCCGGCTCTTTGTTTGACGTCATTTCCGGACAAATTTAAGCTAATGCTACCCAGAATACAAAATTGTAAATTAACTGCTGATAGCTTTGAGCTATTTTGACATGTTTGGCTTGGGTAGTCGATGCAAGGAAGAGTATATTGCAGTGGTGTGGCAACTTCATTCTGCTATCGTCTCTACCGTGACCCCTATTTAGTTACACATGCCAGGAGCAGTTAATTGTTAGCCTAGCTTTAGCCATGCTCTCTGACTCCGCTTTCACTTGTCTTCTGGGTTGCGGCTTGCTTGTGACAGGGACCACAGCTACTAGCTAGCTTGGTAGCTAGCTAGCTAAGCATACATTTTCCCCAGTATTAACAATTTTGTGTTGTTTTTTGTTCGTTTCTTGGACCTTTTATTTTCTGACGCAGTCCGTGGAACAGCGGTGGTCTACAGAAACTGCACTTCGTTTGTTTTAACACGTATAATACGCTGTTAGCTTAAGTAGCAAGCTAGCCAACCGGCTTATTTTGAGGAAACGTCTTATTTTTTTGATGACATATAAATTGATGTCGACGTTGCCTTGACCCGGGCAGTAAAGTCCATTAACCGACGAGGGCCAGTCATCGTCTGCTGACGTTTTTTTACCACCCAGCCAGGAGCCGGAGCTTTCATTCCTGTGGTAATTTGCCTGCCACGATGGCTTCTTCCTCTGGAAACGACGACGACCTCACCATCCCCAGAGCAGCCATCAACAAGATGATTAAAGAAACTCTCCCCAACGTACGAGTGGCTAACGACGCCAGGGAGCTTGTGGTTAACTGTTGCACAGAGTTCATACACCTCATATCCTCTGAAGCCAATGAGATATGCAACAAGTCCGACAAGAAGACCATATCTCCCGAGCATGTCATCAATGGTGAGTCCTGGCCCATGTTTGCTCCGTCCTTTGCACAACAAACAGCTAATGTCTTGAGGAATACAAGAGGGGTGTGTGCCCCTCTGCCAGCCAAGCATTTTAAACCACTGAGACTAATTATTTCGCTTTCGCCTCTTGTTCTCGCACCACAGCTCTAGAGAGCCTCGGTTTCGCATCGTACATCACGGAGGTGAAGGACGTCCTGCAGGAGTGTAAAACTGTAGCTCTGAAGAGGAGGAAGGCCAGCTCTCGACTGGAGAACCTGGGCATCCCAGAGGAAGAGCTGCTCAGGCAACAACAGGAATTATTTGCCAAGGTATGATCCGAAAATACTAACAAGTATACAATTCTCTATGTAGTTGTGCTGTGTATGAGCACCTGCATTTTACTGTGTGGAGGGCTGGGGTTGAAATAAGTGCATTATTGCAATATGATGCCCACAATAACATTGGGATTTCAATACAGGTAGTGTATATTGTACGGTTGCAATCCTGGTATGTGTGAGTGAAGAGGAAAAACATAATAAGAAAATACCTTTTTTTTTTTTTTTTTTTTTTTTTTTTTTTTCTGTGATTGTTTTAAACACCCCAGATTCACAATTTGAAAAAAACGTGTACGTATATTAGATTACTTATTACAGTCTTTGGTACAAAAGCCAGAATATAAGAAAAAGAGGGGTGTAGTTTAAGCAAGTATATGTATTTTAACTTAAATGTAAACAGGATTTGCGAGAGAAGTGGAATTTCTGTTTACTGAATTGAGACATTCTTTCCCTTTTCATATTTGTGTGATTCATGGAGCAGCATGACAACTTTCACAGTTAATAAGCTGACTCTATTGTTATAGATTCTGTTAAGGGACAGGAGATAGTGCTGTTAAAAACATCTGCTGTTAGTGAGGATCCGTCGCGGTCTTGGTGTCACAATTGGAACATGTTGAAGTATTGTGGTACAGTGTGCAGTGGCTCTGTAGATGGATATGTAGCGGTCATGTCAGGGCGACGTGGGCTCAAAACAAATGTGATTAGTTACGCTTTGTATCTGTTGTGCATTACAAATGCACAACTATATCTACTATTGCATAATCTAAGACATCTATTGCATTATTCTTCAGCTGCAGTGTCTTCTGTCCATTCCTACTGGATTGCAAAAACCTTATTGTAATAAGTCTCATGTCTTAATATCGTTGAGTCAAAAATACTGTTTAAGTTTCCCAGCTCTAATTCCACACCAGATATCACCATCACCATCACCATCACGATCCTTTTGTAATCTCCAAATAAGCTCTCTGTTCGCCTTCTCTCGTGTCATGTCTCTGTTTTGGTTTGACTGTGTTCCTGCAGGCGCGGCAGCAGCAGGCGGAGCTCGCCCAGCAAGAGTGGCTACAGATGCAGCAGGCCGCCCAACAGGCACAGATGGCGGCGGCATCTGCCAGCGCCGCCCAGCAGGCCAGTTCCTCTCAGGATGAAGATGAAGACGAGGACATGTGATCCCAGGATGCCACTCCACTCCTCGCCAGAATCCCCTCCTGGGACAGCGCTGGCACACGAATCCCTCAGTGCTGTCATCGGCAGAGACATGAGGCGTGTTTGACCGCCGGTATAACATGGATAATGCACATTGGTATGGACACTGAAGAGAACGATGACTGGGGGTTTCAAGATAGCCTCACCTTCAGACACCAGAACACAATAATGATTTGGATTGAGAGGCTGCAGAGTTATTGATCAGCCCCATCTCCCCCCCTTTCCCCCCCCGATGCTTCTGTTTAATTATGTCTTGATATTATGTTGTGAGTGATTTGTAGATTTCTGGATGTGTTGTGGACACTGAGGGCAGAGGTTGCCTGGGACATGTTGGTGAATTTTGGTGATAATGCGACAAGTGTTTGCACCTTTGGGTACAGCTTAGTTATGTTGTACTAGATCACTTTTGGTGGTTTAGGAGAACTGCTTTAGAATGATTTCAAAGCAGTCGATTTCTCCTCTCTTGTGGTTTGATGGTCACTTTTACAGAAAGGGTTCCCTCTACCTTCTCTTGATGCATTTGTTCCACAGAGGATAATTTGAGGGGTAGTGAATATAGGAATTTTTTTTTTGTTAAGTAGAGAATTAAATGGACATTTTGTTTAATTTTAGCTCATTCAGATGCTTTATGTTGCATTTCCTTTCTACCTTGAACCACCCTGCAGTATTGCTAATTAGCGACACGTTTCAGAAACTATATTTTTGTCTCATAGAACCAAAGATAGAGGAGAGACTAACAGCCCAGAGTTAGTGTGTTTTTTGTTTTTAAAGGTGTAGGTGCTGAGGCGTTTCTCGTCGCTGACTCTGGGTCAGTCTAAACAATGTTGAGGATCATTAACCTTCGACTTTGTAAAACGCTTTGATATCCAGGCTGAATTTGTTATTTCCCCTCTCTTCGGGTGCAGTATCAAACATGTGCATTGTGACTGTGGTCAATCCTCAGTGTAAAGACAAGTAACCTGGTTGTGATACACATTCACTCGCCTATGCTGCGAAGATGTATTCTTTAAGCAATAAAGGAATCATATTTTATAGACAACTGGTATGTGTTTTTGTTATGTCTTTAGAAAACCAAATTAGATTATTGTTCTGTATCTAGATGCATGACTGTTACTCCCCCCCCCCATCTTCTGCACTAGCCTCTAAGATGTTTTGTGTCTCCTGGGAGAGGCAGATGTGTGTGAGCAGGCAGACGAGCAGCAGTGGAGCACTTGGCCTATTGGGAACACGGCTTGGCACGTCACTTCTCCAAATCCTCTCAAACATGTCTGGTGCAATCATAGAGAACATGAGCACTAAGAAATTGGTTTTCTTGTTTTTTTTTATTCTTCTTTTGCAAGTTCTTTCCATCATGGTTGGAGCCCTCATCGGTAAGTAGTCTGATTTCTTTACATGGTTATATAATAATAGTGTTTCTAGAATGTAACCTGCATGTGGTTTGTGTGCTGGAAGCAAAAAAATCTGTTTGTTTGAACCGTCTACTCCCAAGGTGGCTCACTAACTACTGAGTCTGTACTCGACAGGATGTAACTCAAACCACACGTCTCTGACAGTGTCCCCCTTTTTGCCGTAGCTCCCAGTCCCACCAGTGCCATTCGCTACTTGGCTACCAAGTGCATTAATCGGCACGGGGCGCGCGGCTGGCTGGTGCCGTGGGGATCGAACCGGTGCCAGCAGATCCACAGTTTCGATGAGCCTCTGGCAAAAACGCTGTATGCCAACGACATTGTTTTCGCCGTGCATGTACCTCTTCCCAACGCGGAGATGAGTCCCTGGTTTCAGTACATGCTGGCTGTTCTACAGTTTGACATCGCCTTCAAGGTGATCAATCACATTGGTAAGAGGAGTGTGTTAGTCATGCATTTAAATGATATAGGTCCAAGCTCCTCAGTTCTTGCTGTAACTATCTAATGAACTGAATCTCGTCCGTGCAGAGGATGATGTCCTCATCACTATCGACGCTGGCTTGGCCTACAGGGATGATCTGACATCTGAGTGGACCACAAAGTTTCACTCAGTGGAGCAGAGGCCACTCAGGTGCATATTTGCCGTCCCGAAGGTACAAACATGCATGACTGCGTTTAATACGTATAAAATGTATTATAACATCTCTGCTCGGTGACCTGTAACAGTCCACGCTTTTGCAGACCTATGAAAACGAAGGCCGCTTTTATCACTGTAACCCCGTACCATTCATGGAACTGGGAAGTGTGGCCCACAAATATTTTTTGATCAACCTCCGCCTGCCGGTGAATGACACGGTGAATGTTGGAATTGGAGAAATCAAAGACATCCATCTAGTGGTGAGTTTAGTTCTTATAATTTAACTTCCGTCGCACGTTTTGATTGAATTGAAATCTCAAAGCGTGCCTGCGTTTCATTCAAACATTTAATGTCCTTCTCTAAGGGCATCCACCAGAATGGAGGCTTCACTAAAGTGTGGGTCAGCATGAAGACCGTGTTCAGTCCCTGGATACTTGTGGCAACAGTTTGGTACTGGCACAGGATCAGCCTCACGGCAAGACCTCCAGTCCTGTTGGAAAAGTATGAGCCGATGAGAAAGAATGGCTGATTGTGTTTCTCAAACCAACTGCTTTGACTTTTTAACACAAGTCATGTTTAGCCATGTCAGGGATAGTGTTACATGTGAGCATTACAAAAATACAAACAAATGGAACCCTGAAGTGTTCTGTATTAAATAGACAAATTACACATCATGAAAAGGAATAAATTCAACCCCCAAAAAATAAATTCATGTCCTTTAAAAAAGTATTCTACGCACAGCTCTAGAGCTCTTAAGTTGAAACTCTGAGTGCAGCCCAGGCTCTTTAGTCACTCAGTGCAGACTTAAAACTTTCAAGAGGAATGCGGTGCTTCGGGGTGGGAAATGACAAGTGCTCCATCTGAAGTGCATGTTCGGCCTGGTAGAACCGGGTCAATACTCGGCCTGCAGCAGAATGCAAGCCTTCATAGCATGCGTCTGTCTCGTACAGGGCGATTTTTGCTCTGGGCGTCTCCATGACGCTCCTGAACGTGCCGGCGGAGTGGCTCTCCCTGGGTTTTGAGTGGACGTGGATGCTGCTGTTGGAAGATGCGCAACAGGGTGCCTTCTACTCCACACTCTTCTGTTTCTGGGTCATCTTCTGTGGCGAACACCTCATGGTTAGCACCTTGTACTTCCTCTCTACTGTACTTTTCTCCACACTTCAATGGCCACTAATGCAGATTTTCTTTTCAACGACGAATCCTGTAGGACCAAAGTCAGAGGAATCGTCTCTCGGCGTACTGGTGGCAGGTTGGGCTGGTGATGTTTGGCTCGTCTCTTCTCCTAGTATTCGACCTGAGCGACAGGTAGTGACGTGCTTTTGATGAGGTTTATTGTGTTTACAACTTTCTTTAAATATGAAAGTGCTTTATTTCTTAAAAAAAAAAAAAAGGGGGGTTCATTTGACCAACCCCTTCTACAGTGTCTGGGCATCAGATATTGGGATGAAGCTGGCCGTATCCTTCACATACTAGTACTGCATCAGAAGAAGTCTGCCTCATTAGAACCAGCTTTAAACGTCCAGGCCTTTTTCCTTGACTGTCTCGCAGATTACTTTCATTATCATGGCGGGGGTCTCCGTTTGTCTGTACTTCCTCTCCCTGTGTGGCATGGTGCGTTGTGTGTTCAGGAACATTGGTGGGAAAATGCAGCAACTTCCTGCAATGCCAAAGGCTAGAAGACTGCGTTACAAGGTTTGATTTGTTGGTTTCATATCTGAATCACAATAGGCATAACTATATTCTGGAAGGTTTTTTTAATCCCTCTTGCTGGTTCTGGCAGGGTATAATCTTCAGGTTCAAGTTTTTGATGCTGGTAACTCTAGCGTGTGCCGCCATGACGGTCGTCTTCTTCATGTTAAATCAAGTAAGTGTTACCCCTCTAAAGATCAACATGGAGGTCTATACTTTTGTTGTGATATGTAAATATTCCAAATGTTCTCCATGTTCCACCAGGTCAGTGCGGGTCACTGGCACTGGGGAGACTATATGTTCCAAGTCCACAGTGCTTTTCTCACAGGGATCTATGGCATGTGGAACCTGTATGTTTTCACCATCATCTTCCTCTACGCGCCCTCCCACAAGCACGGAAGAAAAAAGTCAGGAAATAGTCAACAAACAGGTCTGTAACATTTTCATTTCATAGTTAGAATTCCACGGAAGCCCTGAGAGGCAAGTGAGGGGAAAAAAATCTGCTCTAAATAGTTTTCTCTCATGTTTATGACTTACGAACAGGATATTTTCTCATTTGTGAGTATAGTTGAAATACTCATTTTGGTGACAAGAGACTGAAGTGCACCACCATGTTATAATAGAACTAAAATCTCCCTAATGGCAGATTAGCGCTGGTAAAATACATTTTTAGCCAAAATAAAGACATGACAGTAATAATACATTACTTGCCAATAAATAATATATGAACATTGTGTTTAGAGTGCATGGAGAAATAAAAACTCACCTGGAAGAAAACGTGAATGATTTTAGTCCTCTAAACATGGGGTAGTGGTGCACTTCTGCCGTTTGTGGCCGAAATACGTATTACAACAATAAACACAATCATCCTGGCAAAACATTTTCCCCCCCCACCTGTTTCATATAATATATATTTATATATTTAAAGAAACTTTAAACGATTATCCTGGCAAAATATGTTTTATTTCACCTGTTAAGTCATTAACGCAGGAGAGAAAACTATTTAGATCAGACTTAGAAAATGGATCATCATTTTTTCTCATTTGCCTTCTAGGTGCTTCTGTAGCATCCAGTTCTCAGATGAAAGAGAATGAAACGAGACATTTACTTGGTCAACGTATTAGATGTTCAAATGTTAAGAATATGTTTACTATTGACAGAGGTGCTGGAGACGCCAGAAAGCCAAGAGACCCATCAGACATGTGGAGAGCAGGGGCCGACCGAGACCTACAGGATCACTGGGAAGGTGGCTGATGAGTAACCGTCAGAAAAGCTCCTTCGTTTTGTTATTTCATTCTACTGTTGATGCTTCTGAAACATTTATTACTACATTATAAACACTGCAGGCTGTGAAACGTAGACTGTCTAGAATAATGTCACTTTCATATTCTAACTTTTTTTTCTTAAGCTTGGGGTGAAAAGTAAAAGTGCATGAGATATTACTGCAGTTGCTACAGTAAAATTGGCGTTGATGCATCAGTATCAACACTCTTAATAGTGTCACTTACAGGGGACATTCTGCACAACCACTACTAGTACTGCTGTTACTTAAACTACACAAAGCTGATGCTACTTCTGTACTTGTAGATTTGAATGCATGACTTTTACTTGTAACAGAGTATTTTAATGTTGTTGTACTGTAACTTGTATGTGACCCGAATACCTCATCCGCAACGAGTGGAGAAAATAAATCAGACGATGATGATAATTGTCAGTTGCAGCCCTGAGTGTGTATTTTCCATCACACATTCATACAGACTTCATATAACATGCTGTCTATGCGTGTCTAACACATACCAATTTGAAATGCACTTCAGACGCATATGCATGTCAAAAACATCACGTGTAATCCAGATATTGTCACATGTATTTTTTTGTAAAAAGAATAAAAATGGTGTAGGCTAGAGGTACCAGCAGAGGGCGCTGTTGTCTCTTCCGCACAGGAGGAGTTAAAAGAGTCTCAGCCCAACAAGTCCGCGGCAGATCACTCTCCGTGTCTCCTGTCTCTCTGTTTCTCACCAACGGGGCTCTGGGTTTATTTCCTGCGTCGTGAAACTTTTCATTTGACACAGCTAGAGGGCTTTTTGAATTTTGAATTTTTTTTATTAAAGGAGCTGCACTTGCATTGTTCCATGGCGCGATTTTGAAAACCCTGTCGGATCCGAGAGGCCAGGTGAGTATCAGCACGGAGATTGCACGACTGGTGTCTGGACTGTAATGCTGACGTTAAATAATACCAGCAGGTAAACTGTCACCTCCAGTCGATGACCAGAAAAAACAAAAACGTATGTACACAAGGAGGAAGTACAATTTGGGGGAAAAAAATGTATTTTGATCAGGTTCATAGTTTGTCTGTGTGATTTGCCGAGTAAGATTTACAGTATTTCAGATTTAAATGGTGGGCATGTTATATGTTGTACATGCACTGGTTGGTAAACAGGTGTTTAATGCAGCAGAAGTGACAGGTGGCCATATTAAAGAGGAGGAAAATTGCTTCATGGAAGTATATTTTCGAAAAGTCTTTGAATATTAGAAAATACAAGTAGGTTACGCTATTAGATAAATGATGACACTTATGTCTCCATGGAAAACCTGCCTGATGTCATGTTGCTTTACAGCTTTCTTTGAACCTCAATGTCCCGATATTAAATCATGAGGGAACCAAACGTTCAGCTCATGCATGGAAACACTGCCATCCTTTGTCTTATGTGAAAGTAAATTGAGCATTTGGAGGTTTTGGACCGTAGACTTTCTAGAGGACAGCTTCCCAAAAGTGAAGCCAAAACATCAACATCGCCCCCTTGTGGCTGGTTGCAGTATAGGTAATATACCCCGCCCCCTTCCATGTTAGCTGATGGGACATTGGCCAAACTAAAAAGTGCATTCGAATACAATTTTCCTCTCATTTTATGTAGTTCTTATCACACTGATGTAAGTTCAAGTTTTTTTTTTTTCAGATAAAGAAGTTATTTATTCGATGTTGTAAAAAAGGGGATTGGCATGATTGACGGCTGTGATTGACAGCTCCACTAAACTGAATATGTATAGATATATCATGGTTAGTTGTTGTGTCTCTAGCCAAACAGCTAACGTAGCTAGGTGGCTCTCACGCTAACAAGCTGTGGCCGTGCTCGGCTGGTGATTGGTGTGTGGGCGGGACCTCGATACCGCGGCTCCAGTTTCTGCGCCGCTCTGCGGCCTCCAATGAGGTCAAAATCCCAAGATGGCAGCCCCCGTATCCGGAATAGTTTGGCCTCATTTTAGTACAGTGGGAGGAAGTGGAGACACGTTGTCCATCTATGTAAAGTAGCTACATGGGTGAACCAGACAAACGTTTTAAGGACACCTTCCACGATGATGTCGATATTCATTCTTCGGGGGAGAGGCTCACAGGCATGTGCATGGGCTAACATGAATACACTTACAGCCACTTTAGCACCTATGTCTGCATGCACATAACTGTGTTGTTAATATCTTGAATCTGTGTCATGTGTTTGTTTAGTTGTTTCCCCTTAATTTAAAAGCCTATCACAAAACTGAGGGCTCCTAATACTGGACTATTCTGTATATATTACATCTGCTGCATTCACATCTGTTGCAGTTGTTTGAAGACTGTACTTTTTTATTTGCATAAAGTGGTAAATATAATTCAGACTATTTCTCTGACTGTTTTTTTTCCCAGTTTTCGGTAGACGTGTCTTCTCAGTGCCACATGGCTTCTGGTAGTTGAGGGTGACTCCACCTGAGTGGGTTCTTGATGCTGACGTAGGGCTGTCGGGCTGTGTTGCCTAGTTACACCACAGTCACTGGTTCAGACCTTAGCGGCGGTGTAATCTCATGAAAGTGCCCCCCTCACACACAAACACACACACACACACACACACACACACACACACACACTTGTGTCCCTCGACTCAAATTCCACGCTCGGCCTCCGGGGAGCTCGTCTGTGCGTCACTGCTCTGGTCACAAAGGCCTTCAGGGAATGCATCCAGTCAACAGAGTGGAGCCTCCAGCCCTGGTAGTCCACAGCGGGATGTGAAATACGCTGTGTGCTGGCCTGACACACGTCAGAGCCGCTCCTGCCTCCTGTTGCAGCGATGTGGGTGTTACAGTGGACCTGTACACAAAGCATTAACTGCTTATCAACAGATGATGAAGGGTTTCACCATGAACCCTATTACCTTTTCTTCTTTCCACTTTGATATTAATATGTTTACAAGCTATCCCAATTATGTCTTTAGTCATATTCAGGGTTGAACAACAAGCTACAACTCCTTTCGTTTAAACATTTTGATAGTGCAATAGTGGATCTTCAGACCATTAAGCCAGTACGAACCCAGTGTAGCCCCCCCCCCCCCTCGAGTCATTACTTAGTATACAGATAATTTAATCAACAAAAATATTGATCGTTTTAAGTCACTGGTCTCAATTAGGGGTCTGGGGATGCCCAGGGGTCCTTGAGTGAGTTCAAGGGGGTCACTAAATAAAAGGGGAATAGTTGATTTTCACTTTTTAATTCCCTATAGAAGTGAGCCCAATGTGAGTAAGAGTCATAAGAGTTACTACTCTGATCAGAGATTTCACGGCCTCCACGGTTCTCTCCCAAATTGTAGTGGACAATATAGAATTCCGGTCTTCATATCTAAAAACCAGAACCTATTTTTAGATGGAGGTCCCTGAAGCTAAATCTCATCAAATCAAACTTGAGGGCACAGAGAAGGTTGAGAACCACTAGTGTAAGATGTAATGCATCAAGGAGAAATGCTGAAAAATATACAATATGAGGAACTGCTATTTTTTTCCTTTTTAGAACACAAATTAATATATTTAGGATTATTTTCTTTTTTTTTCTTTCGGCAAAAATAAATCGGCAGGATAATCAATGAAACAGGTGTCCTGGTAATCTATAGTGCAGACTGAAACACATTAGCATTTAGTGATTCCTTCATCTGAGAGTATATTAAGCAGCCTATATAGGGCAATACTTTTTGCCACGTTAACCAAGTTGCGGAGTTTGTTTTCAAAGTCAAAGTGTATCACTCCAAACAGACGACGATGTGAATTCTGCCTTACGTTGTTTAATCTAGCTTCATTAGTTTGCTTTTATTGCTCTTATACCTGATGTGGATTAAGTTTATGAGAGAATTCTTTGGGAATGAAAGCAAAGATCTGTTTGACTTGGGTGGGGAGCCGAGTGCGTCAGCACAGATCATGTTCGGCCTTCATAGCGCTCTTCACCTTTGTTGGTTAGCAGACTGCCATTCCCACACTGACTGCAGGTTGGTGCTTTGTTCTTGCTGTCTGTACCTCTTTGGTTATATGCAGAGAGGCACCAGGTGTAAGCCACAGGTGGTGATAATAGAGTTTGGCAGATAATTGATTGACAGTAGTTGATCTCAGAATCATTAATGAAAAACTTTCAAAGACCCACTTGTCAAGTTGAAAGAGCTGCCTCGCTGTTGCTCCTCCTGGTCAGCTCCTGGGTCATTGGCCCATGTGGCCTGTGTGTTTGCATGTGTGTTTGTGTAGGTGTGTGTGTGTGATATCACTGACACTGTGGGAATTGTCATATTATTGCTGCTGTGGGATATTTATATATAGACACGTGCTTTGTGCAGGTCCCACATGTCATGCAACTCAACCGACACAATTACATGAAGCAACTCCAGGTGTCCTTGGTGCATCTGTGCAGCATCGAGGGAATGAGACTAATAATAAAGTCACTGTCATTAAATTAAATTAACCTCTCTTCATGCCCCTCCCCCCCAGCCAACTGGTTCCTGTGGGTGAGCCATGCACGGATGTGTACTTGGTTGGTCGTGTTGTGTGTCAGTGTGTTTTCATTAAGATAGACCTATTGAACACTACTGACAACTAAAAAACAATCAACACCACACATTAGAAATGATTCTGTATGGTCAATACTTTCCTCCCTTTCCTTTCCACTATAAACAATTACAATTCAATATGTATTTATTTTTAATGAGGAGCAAGCCCGAGCTATGTGCATTCCCAAATTTCCTTTCCGTGCCACACATTTGGGCCTCTGATGTCACTGGGTCAGAGTATATGACGGAGTGTTGTTTGAAAATGTTTGATATTAGTAAAACCAGCAATATTACCTTTAAACAAATCAATGAATGAGCCTTTGTTCAGAGGTTTCATTGCCTTGATGAATGATGGCAGTGTGTGTGTGTCGTACAGCACACGTTTGTCAATGCTCCCTCTCTATAGCTTTCAAATGATGTCGCATTCTTTCTTTCTCTCCACCACGCGCCACTGAAACTGGAGAGCAAATCATAAACTAGACAAGGAAGTAAGAGGTTGCTTGGCAACTGGTAACAAAGCGGGTAATAAAACATCCTTGGTGTCAGCGTTGTACAATAACAGACTGCTGAGTGTTGGTTTATTCTAGCTTTATTATTCTGTTACATATATATCTATATATATATATCCCCCTGATTGATTTAAATTAATTCAGACGTGGCTTTTGTTTACAGTAAAGATGTAACTGGAGCTCTTCTCTGTCCTTGTCCAGCACACTACCTTTTCTTTAAAATATACAGAAGTTACTGACTCATGTAGCCAGTAGGTTGCTGACCAGCATGGCTTTCACAGTAATCGTTTTTTAACCATTTAATGTTCAGGTATATTCAGTCAGCCGTAAAATCTGGCTCCCTGGTATTGAAATCTCTCTCTGATGTGTCTCTTTGGTTGTCTGTCATGGCTGTTTAGTAATTTTAACATTTTCTTTTCTTTACAGATTTATGCTGGTCACGCAGACTGGGACCCCCAATACATGCTACCTGAGAGCTTTCCCCACACAGGTCAGTGACTCGGTGATTGGACCGGGTCCCGTTTGAGTCCACGGTTGCCACCAGCGTCCGCTGCCTTTTCCGTAATTGAGAGAGGCATCAGGTAACAAACATTGCTCCACCGCTCTCTCCATTATTAATCAGCCCCGGCCCCCACACGTCTTTCATATCTCCAGTCACACTGCAGCCTGCCGGGTGCTGCCCTCTGGTGATTAACAGAAGATAGATAGATAGATTTAGATCTTTGACGTTGCAAGTTTTCTACGTCATAAACCGCCAACACGTTTCTGCTCTTGTTCTGAAAGAGAAATCTGTTGTATTGGAAGAATATGGCTGTTTTCATGACTTGTCCAGTCATTTTTTAAAACATATTTATAACCCAATATCACAAATTTGCCTCAAGGGGCTTTACAATGTGTACAGCATACAACATCATCTGTCCTTAGACCCTGGATGCGGATAAGAAAAAAAACATTTCACTGGGAAAAAATGGAAGAAACCTCCAGAAGAGCAACAACGGAGGGATTCCTCTCTGAGAGTAGACCAAGATAATAAAATGAATGATAAGAGACAAAAATCATGCATAAAATGTATTTAAACATATCTGAAGATAATTGATCTGGGAGGAAGTCAAGCAGCTTCCATATAATAGATAATGACAGGCAGTTAATTGAAAGTTGATCTAAAAAGATGAAATTGAGTTTGGATTTAAAGGCCACAACAGAATCAGTGATGTCCATTGGGAGGCTTTTAATACGATAACCTGGGAGTATCACCCAGGTGTTACATTTTAAAGGTGTGGGCATTTATCAGGCAGCGAATAAAAGCCATTGGTTGCATCATGGGAAACGTATGCTCCTGAATGGTTGAGCTTGTTAAACTAAGTTTAAATCTCTGGGCCTCTGCTGCATTGAGTTTGACCGTTCTTGTCCGTCTCATGTTAATCCCCCAACTATACGGAAGTGCAACACTAAATTGCTTTTTTAATATTAATCGTTAAGAAGTCATCAGATATTTATTTATTTATTTATCGTCTCTGATCAAAGTTAAAGCCGGATGTTTCATCAACTCTCTTTAATTATTCTTCCAATTCCAATTGATTTACGATTGAAAAGTAACTCCCTCTGCGGTGTTCTGTGATTATACGTTCCCTCCACATGGTGGCAGTATCAGGCAGTCTATTTTCCCTTTTCCCCCAGGTTTTAAGATGACCCTTCATCATAGCTCAGTCTGCCTGCTTTACTAAATATTTGGTCAAATCGCTGACTTTGACATATCATCCAAAAAACATCCTCCTTTGTCCATATTTGGTCACAGCATTGCAGATCAGTGAATATATGAGTAATCAAATTATTGTGCAGAGTCTAGCATGTATGTTTTGCTGTTTTGTCTGAATTTCATGCCCTCTGGCGATTCATTATGTGACTGCACATGTTTGCTTAAAGCACATGGGCCCGTCGCTGCATCGTGTCTTAAACAACTGCACATGTGCTACTTAGTAATTTTTCATGCAGGCGATATTCTGCTTTTACCGGTATAGGAGTGTATCACAATATAACTTCTCTCTATAGGGGGGAATAAGGGGAAGGTTGATTGTGGTAGTAGATCTATGAGGGCAAGAATAATCACATTAATATGCCATAGTCAGCAGTAGGTCAGTCACTTAACTATGTTAAATCAATTTTAGGTCAATTCAAAATGGGTTTTGGAAAGAACAAGGTACGATAGCTTGCATGAGCATAAATTATGATTAAACGTGAGAGTGAAAAAGTGACCCAGATGATGTGCACGTGTTAAACAAAGGCTCTATTTTTCTTCTTTTTTTTGGCAGTGTACAGGTGTGTTGCTAATTGGCCGGTGGACGGCGGCCTGTTCCGCACAGCTGGCAGTAACGGAAACCTGCTCTAGTAGCTTGCATTTGGCGGCACAGAGTTAATGGCCCAATGCCAATCTCCACACTCACGGACTCACAGAGTTTGAGGCGCGCTCCCGCAAAGTCCGTGAGGGTTTAAAGCTGTCCCACTGTCAAATCATCAAGTGTTTAAGCCCGTTGTGAACACTTTCCCTAAGTCTGCAATACCCACAATTCATAGCAATGTGATGTTAAACATGGGGTTATCAGTGGAAGCATGGAGATGTAAACAAAGAGGACGGCACATGTATGCTCAGCCTGGCACAATTACATTTACTCAGAAACATTAAGGATTAAAGATGGAACATAAAAACACATGAAATCAGAGGAATGCAAGCAGAGATTAATTCATTTTGTCAATGAAACTGTTTTGACAAAAACGAGTAAATAGATTATTTACAAGATGAGAGGCTATTTCCTCTCATCTTGTGAGGAAAGAGCCTGGAAGACGTTCAAATCAGGGAGCAAAAAGTATCAAATAAATACCCACAATTGCAAATAATATTTTTGACGTTGGTTACGTGATATATTGCAGCAAAGTGCTGTCCCGTTCGTATTTACACCATTTTAAGCCCTCACAGCCTCTCACACTCAACCATTTACCAGGTGACGTCAGTAAGTCCCTGAGGGTTCAGGGTTTAAGGCTTTAGGGGGGACACTGGGATTGGGCCAATCTTTTCCGACACCTAACTGTTCCTGATCGTCGCAATAACCGCTCCGGGTAGGATGTGTACTGAAGTCGCAGGTTGAATGAAAGTTTTAGGCTTGGTGCAACTTGAGCGTGTGTGTGTTCATTTGAGTAGGAGGAGGTATCCCAGGCTTCTTCAAGGCATGCACTCCATCCTATTTCATAAGCATCTGCTCATATATGGGCATCTTCCTTCCTTCTCTCGGTTGTACTTCGTCCGCTTCCTGAACAGCAATCCCCCCCCCTACAGGAATATACACACTCCTACTCATGTTGGTTAGTTTCAGGCAGAGGCGGGAGTGGCTCTTCCCTGTGCAGGAAGCAATGTGGTTAATACTCATTTGATCAACCGACTCTGATGACCATGCATCCCCGACTAGCAAGCCAGCTGGTGCGCTCTGTACTGACGGATGGAAACAGCTCATAAGTTTGCACGTGAAACTGATTGTTTCCCTCATGCCACACATGTCCCGCTTCAATTCTTCCAAGGAAGCGGAAGAAAAAGAGAAAAAAAACCTCTTTGATCTGTAAGAAACAACGTTCAAGACCTTTTTTTTTTTTTTTCTTGTGCACTGGGCGGCTTTCTTCTGCTCTCAGGATCTGCAGTGCACTCTTTGTTGCTTGTAAAAATAAATCTCAGACTTCCAGAGATTTACGTTCTCGGTGTTATTTATGTACGTGCACCTCTAATTTTGGGGAATTCGGGCCAGGATCGGTGTGCACTGGGTGGCCTCCAAAGTGCCCTGGATGCATGCAGATACCTCTTGAGATTAGCGGCCCTATCTGCACGGCTGTAATGTAGACACACGTTGGCTTTGAAGTGGGACAAACAGCCTCATCATGTTATTTTGCCACGGGGCACAGAAAGTATCACCCGTGTGCAGCTGGGGCTCCATCAGCCACCGAATTCTACTCCTTCTGTCGTTCACCTTGGAAAATATTTACAATGTAAACCATGTGCTTTAGATTAACACTAAAAAAAGCAGTATTATGTGGTTTATTAGCACAGGAACATTTCCCGTGTGAAGAAAGAGAATGTCCACCCCCGGCCAGTATTGAGCCTACACAAAACCATTAGCGTGAATGAATTATTGCCGCAGTTTCAGATGTGTAATTACCATGCCCCCCCCTCCTTGTGACATATTATCAGCCCACTCAACATCTAGGTCATTGCAGATCCCGTTTCCATGGGTAGGATTTTCACACAACTGCCTGCCCAACATATTCTCACGCCAATGCGTCTCAAAAAACGCAGCTTGGTCAGTACGTACCTCTCTAGCGAGAGATTGGCACGTGTCAGCGACTGTGTTTCAAGATACACTCGTTACATGCACAGTGTCTTTTCAAAATACACTTCCGTCTTCACGGGATGTTAGCTTCAGGCATCAAAAACCACTTAGTCAGGTTTAGGAAGAGAGCGTTGTTGACATGAACTTGACTAACAATTCACGTGAATGCTGACTTTACTTGCGCGCGTCACATACCCACGCTAAATGAACGTCTATGTCAGACGCTCAGGAGCGCTGACCAAGCTGCGTTATTTGAAGCCTTGGGAGTGATAACGGGTTGGCCTGCCAAAAAGTTAGCATACTAACACGCTAAAACAAAGCCCCGACAAGCGACGAAGTATAAACAGCGACAAAGTCCGCGTAGGGCGATATTTGTCTCAAACTTCGTACTTAAGTAACACCACTTCCAAAGTTATCGTAACACAAACGTTGACTTATTTGTTATGTATCTTCTGTTCTTAAGTAATGCCATTTCCATCGTTATTTAACCCAAACCGCGATCTTTTCCTAATCCTAACCAAGTCGTTTTATTGCCTTAACACTGCAGGGGCTAGCGCAGGCGTGCTGATTGCTCGTGTTGGTGGACATCCGTAGGAAAATGCTCAAACAGTAACAAAATAACATTTTGTAAGATGTCACACAGACATTTAAAAGAGGATACGTTGGCATGGTAAACATTATAGCTGCTAAACATCAGCAAGTTAGCAAAGAGTGCTGCAGGAATGAGTCCGAAAACCTGAAAATGAGTCAGCATTTTTGCACTTTCGATTAAATGAGACTATCGCGCCGACTAGTCCGCCTTTGCAGCCTCATTTTGTATGTTTGCGTTTATGGGACTGTGGTTTCTTCATATCCTAACATTTAGGTTTTTACTCCTTCTGATTGCATTCACCCTTCAAAAGTCATTAAAAAAAAAAAAAAAACGTCTCTTTGCCACAGAGCTTATTTCCTGCAATATTCCAAAATCCAGTAGAAGAATCCCATTTGCTTCTTGTTGAGGGAACCAGTGCGATGCTAACATCCGGGGTCTACAAAGATACGTCATCCTTACAGCACTCTTTTGTGAGTATGTTAGCATGCTGACATAAGCAATTACCCCAAAGCACACCCTCACAGCGCCTCAATCATGGCTGCAGACTTTAAATCTTGTTTCAGTACTTATTTGTCGTTCTACTTGCTGATGCGATGAAGGTCTTTGGGAGGGAAGTGCTTCT